GTCTTAAAAACTATTTTTTATACATAAAGTATTTTTTATTGATGTATATTACTTAAAATTCAATATTACAACTAAATTATGCGTAAATGCAACTTATTAAAATTACATGTTTAAATTCGTGTAATTAATTACACACAAACCTAATCAAATATAGAATAAACATTTCATTTTAACGTAAAATATAATTAAGATAATCATTGAGTTCTAACAAAATACTTAATTATTATCTTTATAAAAATTATATTATTAAATAAAAATAAATTATTTAGTTATTAAAATTAAATTAAATTATAATAAAAAATTGAATTAAAGAAATTACACAAAACCAAGAATTTTTAAATAGTTAATTTGATACTAATATCGATATATATATTTTAAAAATTTTATGATATCTTCAAATTCATATTTTATTAATAATAAAAACATTATCGTTTTTTCAAAACCATATAAAACCATATTATAGCAACAAAGACAATGAACAAAAAAAAACATTAAAATCGAGATGTATCACACTACGTTTATATAAATCAGTATAAACGACTTAATAAAGTTGGGACCATAACAATTTATTTATCTAATTAAATTATTATTTTAAAAATGTACTAATTTTACTAGATATTTTTAATTTAAAGAGTCAAATTCTATAAATTGTTCACATGGCATCATTTCATGTTACATCTTATGGTTTAAACCCGCATTGCACCATATGCATCTAAACTTATATATAAGGGAAAGTTCGATTGTAAATTTGTTTTCGATTGTGAATTAAAGGACAAAGTAAAGTGTTTTACATATCTAATACATTCACGGGTATAATGATCATTTGATTGTATATTGGTTAATATTTGAAGGTAATAATTACTTTTAATTATGGAAACATAATAATAGAAACATTTAATATAAAAGGTGGTAAATCAATTTTTCTTAATATAATTTTTTTATCATTAATAGTTTTTATTATTTTATTAAATTATATTTATTAAAATATGAATTGTAAAAGCACTACAATATGAAATCTGATTTCGTTTCATTGAAAAACTATATGTAGTTTGAGTAATGAAATGAATGTCATGTTCAATAGTGACTATAAACACAATTTCACTGATGAATTTAATTTATTAATATTTCAGAACGTTTTATGCATGATAAACTTTCATTAAATAAAAAAAATATTCAGTTTTCAAAATATTTCATTCAATTTTAAAAAMTGTTTCATTCTTTATATGTTTCATCGTTTATTAGGATATCCTTTGTTTTAAAATTATTTTGATTAGAAATTATTAAGATTCAATACTACTTTAATAACCGTTAATGAAATAATTTGCAATTATCGTTCACTATTATATGACAAAATGATCCATCTTTCATTGTAGTTGACAAGGAGTCACGTGAGTTCATTCAATAAATGGTGAAACAGTTTCATTCATTCATTTAATGACACAAATATTTGCTTTAGTATTCAAAAGGTTTCATTATTTTTTGTTGATTAAAATATGTTTTATGTTTCATAATTTATTAAAATATATCTAGTTGCATTGCTCCCTACTTGTATCTATTTTTAAGGTGAATGTAATTTTGTTTATAATATTTAGACATAAAATGAATATAATTTTTATCAAACATATAATTTTTTAGATTATTCTTACATTTTTTGTTAGAATCTTTGTAATGATAAAATGATATATAGAGATTTTAAAACAATGATTTTGTTTCATTAATGTTAGGATATCCACGATCTTGTTACATTGTTTACAAAATCATTGGGGATTTGACAATTTTGCCCTTTTTTAATTAAAAATTAAACTTTTATTTTATTTTTTTATTTCTTAATATAAACACATTTAATTTTGACTATTGATTAAGAAAATTGATGTATGAGATTGGTTTGTAAGGTTTTCACATATGAGAGTCGTTTGCAATTATATATATACATATATATACACACACACACACATACACACTTGGAATCACGTGAGACCATGTTGCTTTTGTGAGACATTTGAGACAACTTTTTTACACTTGAAACTTTAAAGCAGAACACTGTGAAAGTAACCTTCATAATATTTTTCTTGTGAATGTTCAGATTTTTTTACCTTCACAATATTTTACTGTGAAGTTTCAAGCGTAGAAATATGTAGTCTTACGGGTCTTATGAAAACATATTGGTATTACATGAACCCAATCCTATAAAAACACACACACACACACACGCACACACATATATATATATATATATATATATACTTGGGATCATATGAGAAAATACTATTTTCGTAAGACACGATTTTTACACTTGAAATTTCATAATAAAAAATATATATATATATATATATACTTGGGATCATATGAGAAAATACTATTTTCGTAAGACACGATTTTTACACTTGAAATTTCATAATAAAATGTTGTAAAGGTAAAAAAAAACTGAATTTTCACAGCAAAAACATTATGAAGGTTACCTTTACAATATTTTGATGTGAATTTTAAATGTAAAAGTTGTGTCTCACAAAAATAGACTTCTCTCACGTGAACTCAACTCTACATATATATATATATATATATATATATATATACATATATATGATGCGGTTTGAAAAAAAAATGCTCAAACCACATATATGATGCGGTTTCCAGTTTAGACAAACTACACATCGAAGACCCCGAATCTATACAACATTTAGGAATATTTTCTTGTTTTTCCGTAGTCATTTTCTTGGACAAATTTTCTATTTATTTTGCATTTGCACAAGTCGATATTCTCACAAAAACAATCGTTTTATTCTTAGCATAAAAGTCAATTTTACATATATCCCACCTCCATCCACACGTACGAAATACGCATATTGTAATCTTGTGGTAAATTTGGAAGTTAAAGTATGACACTGTGAAAATTATTTATATAAATATAAATGAAATATTAATTATATTATTAAAATATTAATTATTTATATAAATATATTCATTTTAATAAAGATGCATTTAGTTACAACAACTACTCTGTTTTAACGATTATAATATTAATTATATTATTAAAATATTTAATATATTTAATAAAATATTAATTTTCTCTTTTTTAACATTTATTTTCAATATCTACTATTAGCATAAAAAATTTAAATACTATTTCTCTATTTTACACATAGTTTTAGAGGTTTCTCTAAATTTAAAGATTTTATATCTGTCTTATTTTTTCTATTTTATCATACAATATAACATAGTTGTTTGAGCACAATACTCTCTTCAATTAATGAAATCTTATTATAACATAGTTGTTAAACATACGTTTAAAGGCCTGTAATTTATATCTATATGTGTATATCTATACTATATTATAAAGCATTTGATAAAAATTCTTAAAAACCACTTTTTATGCATAAAATATTGTTTATTAATGCATGTTCAGGGGCGGAACACAACCGTTGTAGTCCGGGGGGCCGAAATATAAGAGCATCTTCAATAGATTTTTCAAAATTGAGAAAATGAAGATTTTAGGCATATTTTTTTCATCATATTCACACCGTTAAAAATCCTTGATATTAATGGTTTATAGGTCACTGACATATCATTTTTTGTCTTTATTTGATCCCAAGAATGGATTGGATCGAAACGACTTTCCTGCCAATGGGAAATTGGCTGGGGCGGGGAGCTCGAGCCTGGTTTTAATAGAGTTTTAATTATCCATTTTGGAAATTTTTTGAAGAATATGTTGCAGATGCTATATTATTGTAAAAATTTGTAAATCTAAGGGGGTGTTTGGGATTGCTTATTTAAAACAACTTATGCTTTTGGTTATAAGTGCTTATTAACTTAAGCAGTTTTTCTTTTTTCCAATCCAAACACTAAGAATAGCTTATCACCGGTACCAAACTGAAATAAGTCAAAAAGCCCTCTAAATAAGCAATTCCAAACACCCCCTAAATGATTTGTTTTTAGACTATTAAATTTTAGAAAAAGATTGATTAATGTAATATTAAAACTCGAAACATTCAAAGTATTAATCGAGAAATAGTAATACCGGTGTAATTTACTTTAAAAACTTATATTTACATATAATTAATATATTATATAAAAACTAATATATATAATTAAATATTAATAATTTATATAAAGTTCAAAAAAATTGCTTGGGATGGGATTTGAAACAGCAACCTCAACTATGCATGTTGAGCAACATTGCCAACTAAGCTACTTATTGTATATGTTTTTAATACCTTCGTTATAGTATTTATGTATAAAAGCGGGGGGGCCATGGCCCCCAAAGGCCCCTATAGGGATCCGCCCCTGTGCATGTTACTTAGAACTCAAGATTATAAGTAGATTGTGCGTAAGTACAACTTATTAAAGCTCCATACTTGAATTCATGTAGCTAACTACAGATAAAAATAATCAAATACAAGATAAACATCTCATTTTAAATATAAAAAATCTAAAATATAATTAGAATAATCATTGAGTTCTAACAGAATGCTTAATTATTATTTCATTATCAAACTTAAATTAATTTATAATATTTTTTTTAAAGAAATTACATAAAAAATAGAACTTTTAAATAGTTGATTTGATATTAACATTGATATATTTTTTTTTCAAATTTTTATGATATATTCAAATTTATATTTTATTTAAAAATAAAATCATTATTGTTTTTTAAAAAACACATAAAATCGTATTATAACATCGACAGAGACGAAGAATAAAATAAAACATTAAAATCGAGATATGTCTATCTGCATTGCGTAAATACCCTTCTAGTGTGTGTATATATATATATATATATATATAATTTAAGAAATTTGTATGTAATTTAAAAATGTTAATTTTGATTAATGCATTTTTAAAAGACACCTCAAAATAATAAATATTACAACGTATTCTAAATTCAAAGCCAAAAAGTACAACTTTTAATTAAAAAGTTTGAATTTATTATTTAAATGATTTATTGCATAATTATTCCCACCCTTATAAAACATGCCCTTCCGTTCTTTCACTTAAGCGTCTGCCATCTGCCAACAATACTCCTCCACTTTTTCTCACTCAAAAGATCCTTTTCTACGCCGGCGACAACCGCCACCTCTCATCGGAAAATTCATATCAATGGAAGCTACTGGTATCAAATTGTTTGGGAAGAATATAGCGTATCAAGACAGGGGGAGGATTACTACTAATCTTCCAGTCTTCTCCACCGCCACCGCCACCGCCACCGCCACCGCCACCGCCGCAGAGTCTAGTGATGGTAGTTATGGTGAACACGGTTGTTTTAAGCATGGTCATGGTTTGAGGAGGGAAGAGACTTGTTTGAAAGAAGAGGATTCAAAAAGAGAACACTCAGACAAGGTATTTATACATGCACAAACACTGGATTCATAACGTTTACGTGTTGACATTTACGATTTTGCTCTAATTCTTAGAAAATTAGCGTGTCGATTTGAGTTTTTCGTTTTATTCACCTTTCAGTAGTTATAGATTATGGAATTCACTATTCAGTCGAGATTATGCCTTCATAATCCTCCAAATTTATGGATTCAGTTGGCTATCGTGTTCTTAAATCTGAAATATCGGTTTAAACCTAATACTTATCGTGAATCTAACGTTCTGAATTGAAGACTAGAGAGAAAGAATTTCAAAATTTTCGATAATTTGACGCACGGAGCAACACTAATTCCGTCTCAAATTATACAAATAATTCGATTCTAGCTGAGATTTTGTAAAATTTCTGTAGCAGAAAAGATGAATTCAGGATGATTTATATAAGCTGCACTTTACATCCATGTAAAGCCAACTATTTTCCCTTATTGTTCTAGAAATTTGTGGTTCTTACTTTGATACACAATCTAAAATATATCTTACTTTTTCAGGATCAAATAAGAGAAAAGAAACAAGAAAACAAGTCTTCTCCAAAGGCAGTCGTTGCAGAGTCAGATGGCAACCCTAAAACTCCTATTACTGAAGATACAGATACTTCAAAGACTGAAACCCTAAACAACGCAACGAATTTGCAATCAGAAGACCTGAAAAAGCCGGATAAGACCATCCCATGTCCTCGGTGTAATAGCATGGACACAAAATTCTGTTACTACAACAATTACAATGTCAAGCAGCCCCGCCATTTTTGCAAGAGCTGCCAGAGGTACTGGACAGCCGGAGGCACCATGAGGAGCATGCCGGTGGGAGCAGGTCGCCGGAAAAACAAGAATCCGACATCTCATTATGGTTTTGTAACTATCTCCAAAGCAGCTCAGATTGAAGTTACTGCTTCTAATGGAGTTCATGGTGTTCCCTCCAAAGTCATTTCTTTTGGCTCAGTTTCGCCTCATGTAGATAGTGTCCGTGCAAGTGCAGTTTCTTGTAGAGAGAGAGAAAACGGAGACGATTGCTCCAGTGGATCTAGTGTGACAACTTCTAATTCAGTAACCGAGAAAATGCAGGATAGAAATGGATTCCATTCTCATCTACCTTGTATTCCAGGGGTTTCTTGGTCTTATAATCCTTGGAATTCTGCCATTCCGATTCCAGGCGTTTGCCCTACAGGATACTCTCCAATGTCTATGCCTTTCTACCCTTCACCCTATTGGAACTATATTCCTTGGTTACCCCCATCATCACATACACAAAACCAAAATGTACAATCCGCCACTGATCTAAACTCGTTTATCTTAGGAAAGCATTCAAGAGATGGGGAATTGATAAACCCAAATGGTTCTGAAGAGCCAAAGAAACAGAAAAGTTCAATTTTGATTCCAAAAACTCTTAGAATTGATGATCCTGATGAAGCTGCAAAAAGCTCTATATGGTCGACACTTGGAATCAAGAATGAGAACTTCGGACCACGAGGGGTTTTTAAGGCCTTCCAAACGAAGGACGAAGAAACCAAACAACACCCCGCCAGTACTACTTCTCCAGTTTTACATGTCAATCCTGCTGCTTTGTCTAGGTCACTCTGCTTTCAAGAAAGAGCCTAAAAAGGCTCCCTTCTCTTGAGCCAAGCACTTAATTCCTCAGAGTTTTGTACAGATTATAAAGGTTCGATTTCTCTGTTTTGAGATAGGTGTTCTTTGTAACATTATTATCATATAGTTTTAGATGTTCCAATTATCTTGATTTTTGCTATGTTTAATACAAGTTCTTTTTCCTGAGAAGTGATTGTTCTCCAACTTCTATGATGATATGAACAGCAACAATAACAGGTTCTTTTCACTAATCAACCCAACCTAGAAAAAGGAATCTAGATACTTGACAGAAGTCAGAATCTGGAGGGAAATTCATAGCCAATATAAGGATATTGCCTGATACCCCATTACTTTCAGGAACATCACACCATATCCTTTTTCTTCTTTAGGATCTATAAATGCAGACCATTAGTTTAAGTCGATTTACCAGAAATAAAGAAAGTTGTCCACTTCTGATAGTGAAATGGATTGTAAATCTGCCAAAACAAGTATATAATATATAATATATAAACATATATATTAATATATATCTTGATAACTCTTGGTGGGCATGTCAGAATCAGAAGAAATGTGTGTACCATGAGAACTGGCTACCTAAAAACATTGAGATATTTTCATGTCCTCAGCAATTTCAAGCCACGATTTCTGTATAACATGAGCTGTTTTGTGGACCCAAAATGTACATAATGCCATATCTCTACTTTGGATATGGGCATTTGTTGCCTTTTTTGCTTTTCCCACTTCAATTTCAACCCCTTTTTTCCTTGCCTCACAAATGTTCAACAATTTTTGTTCTTATTCATTTGTAGGCAAGTAAGTTCACTTGTCTTTAGAGTTTCCGATTGATCGATCCTACCCGTTGATCAGCAAAAATATCTATCAACTGTTTTTTGTTGTCATGTGGATATGCCTAATTGGGAAAGCAAGTCCATAACTCTTTATGGGGGCACAGCATAGCCATAGAGGATGTAGAAAATCTTATCTACAAACCTAACAGCTGCTAGGAGATCCACAAAAGATGCATAGTAAGATCTCTTAAAAAGCTTACACTGCCAAACTGTCATGTTAGCTTCTAGAATGGTCTTGGAGTTGTACAGTAGGAAGTACAAACCAATAAAAAGTCAACAGTCAACTTTCTCCATAATTACACCCAAGGTCAATCTTCCACACTAGATTAAACTCCTATACTTGGTGCTTCTTAGATGTTTCTTGAAAATGGAGGTATTCTTATAAAATGATGGAATAAGTTTTGTGTGGATTAAGACGTCTATATACCTATATAGTTATTTACATAATAAGTGCCTAAGTGATAAATGAATAACTGTTGTTTATTAAACCAAACCAAACGAACCGAGTATACCCCACCTCCAGAGGTGTGGTTTGGAAAGGATAAGATGTACGCAAACCTGACATCTACAACTCTACCCCAAAGAGTAGAGTGACTATTTCAATGAATAATTATTGTTTGTGGAGATGTATATGATATAAGAAGGGAAGGATGAGAAAAGATGGTCTTAATGGGTTAAACTTAACCATAGTAACTTATTAAGTCACTGACTGACTTACAGGTCGTTTACTAAACACTTATCTCGGTAAACCTTACCGGTTCAATTACCTTACCGTGTAAACATAATAAAGACCAAGAATCTAACCTGGTAAGAGGGAAGACAAGAATCTCCATTTTGATGGCTGGAATGTTACTTAAAGGTAATGATAATGGTGATTCTTGTCTATAAGCGCTTACCCAGTAAGTCGGCCCCTTAGCATCAACTTCCAAACAAAAGTCACCTTTGAAACTTACCCCAAATGCTCCACTTCGAGATTTGATTTCTTATTTAGCCGGCTTCCATTTTGGACTAACTTTACGCTGCTGTGTAGATCTTACCAAGGTGAACATAACCCAATAAAATACTTAAACGCAATACCCACAAGTACACATTAACGTTTGTGTCCAAAATGGGCGGAAACACACTTTTTTTCCCGACAAAGCAAACCATTTCCATTGACTTGAGCTTATAGTGTAACACCCCAAAATACACTGGTGTACTCCAAAATACAATAATAAAGTCATCCCATGAGCAATTTTTTAAAGTTGCAACAAGACATAAATTGCTACCCGAAACGAGGTCAAACATCCTAAACCCGTATCTTGAACTTCCTTCCTATACGGGTTTCTCTTTTCCAGTAAGCTCTCTAGTACGCTCTTACAGTCGATCCTCATAAACCCGAAATACCCACTTATATGTTCTTACAGCCACTTCCATAAGACTAGTATTTTCCACTATGAGATTTAAGGTATGCCACACACAAGAAGGTCTAAAAACCATGAGATATCATGATTGCATATGGAAATAAGCATTGCATCTATCACATACTACTTCTCTAATCAAGAAATACCAACTGAAATCACAAACATCTTACAGCCAATCAAAGCTCTGAACAATTTGGAACATCTGACATTAGTATCTATATATTAACAAAAGTAGTGAAATGATACAATGCCATCTAGTAACACAAGTAAGGTAAACTTCAACTCAAGGTCTTACATTGCCTTCTAAGCTCCTCTAACACTACCATTAGCTATGCAATCACTTAACTGGACACTGAGCGTTACTGAACTTAACACATAAAACTGGAATGGTCAATGCAACCTTGATCGACCAATGTGAGCTCGCCAATTGCCTAACCTTGTAAGCGAGTTTTCAAGCTTGCTCTCGAACTCGCATTCACCTGTGCTGTGTGCAGACTTGGGGGTGAGTGTCAACCTCGCCCATGTCATTATTTGTGTGCTGATAAGGGAGTTAGAGTTGTTGTTATAACTAAACTCTCCTTTTAGTTTTCTGTTTGATTGTAGTTTCCAGATATAAATAGGAACTACTCTTGTAGAAATTAAGGCATCAAAATAATGAAGAACTTTCTCTCACTAAAATTCTCTCCGTTCTGTTCTATCTCTCGTTGTTCTCTCGATTGAGAGCAGGACTCGGTTCCTGTATCTGTGGTATCAGAGCCCAAACTCCTGTGTTCTCCTGTGACAAGAAAGACGATATGCAAAAATAAAGCACAAGTAAGAAAGACACTGGAATTTTTACAAAAAAAAAGGGAAAAACCACGAGCGGAGGATGCCGAGAACTGATCCACTATCGTTTTGAACGATGATGATGATACACTTGAGGTTACAGCTTACAATAATGGAGAAATCAATGGGGGTTCTTGAGTTCTTGGACAAAACTTTGAGAGCAAGTTTTAGAGGGAGAGGGAGGGAGGGAGAGAGAAAGAGCATGCAAAAGGGATATTCTAAAAATCTGATTCTAAACTGTCTTATCCTATTTAGACGTAGAAACTGATAAATCCATACCAAAAACCCTCCAAAAAGTATTTGTGAACCACCAACTCCTTCAACTAATATACAAAAGCAGGACTTAAATCAGTTCCTGTATCATGTGTTTGCCGGTGAGTCTTAACACCTCGATTTTATTTAGCGTGCAAGTTTATAATCCAGTAAACAACCACGCATGCAACAATTTATCCGGTAATCATGTACCGGAATAGAGTCGTTAATCTCACTTACAGGTATGTTTTTCGCTCTTTGTCATCACTTTTTCATGTTAAGATTCTCAATCATTGATTTATTAAATGTAATTTATTTATAAATTATTATATAAACTTAATGCCTATATAAATACTAGAAAAGTACTCGCACAATGTAACGCGAGACATCTCGATTTTAATATTCTATTTTTATGTGTTTTTAAGAAACCAATAATAATTTAAAAGTTCTCATTTTTTATGTAATTTTTTTAATTTATCTTTTAATTATAATTTAATTTAAGTTTAATAACGAAATAATTTATTTTTGCTTTAATAATATAATATTTTATAAAGATAATAATTAAGTATTCTGTTAGAACTCAATGATTATCCTAATTATATTTTAGATTTTTTTTATATTTAAAATGAAATGTTTATCCTGTATTTGATTATGTTTATCTGCAGTTAGTTATACGAATTCAGATATGAAGCTTTAATAAGTTGTACTTACGCATAATCTACTTGCATCTTAAGTTTTAAGTAATATGCATTAATAAACAGTACTTTACGCATAAAAATGGTTTTTAAGAGTTCTTGTCAAATGCTTTATAATATAGTATAGATATATTATAAAATTTTAAAAAGTTCAAATATATATTATTAATTTTCACCTTTCTATTTTATTTTTTATTTGTTAATTTACATTTTCTATTAACATATTTAAAAGACAATTAAAACAAAAATAGTAAAAGTGTAAAATTACACAAATATTAATTTTTATAAAAAATAATACTAAATAATAAATAATGAGATGATTAAAAATTAAACTTATTAATACAAAAACTTGTATAAAAATTTACAAGAAATGAAAAACAAAACAAAGTAAAAACATTATTTTATAGTAATTAATATATGTTTTGTATCAATTTTAATTTATATGTTTTATAGATTTATTAAAAGAAAATAAAACGGATGTGAAATAATAAATAAAAATAATAATAAAAAAGAAGGTCAACAAGAATCCAGGTTATTGTTCAAGCAATTGAACTCTAATAAGAAACTGTGTCCGGATACGAATCTTTATCTCACAGTGAAGGTTCTTATAAAACCCCCAATAAGAACCTCAACAAGAACTTCTATTGTGGACGTTCTTCTTCACCATATCTTCCTCCAATCTTCATAACCGTCAAGAGTGACTCATTTCTTTCAAAATCCATTCTTATCTTTAGTGTATTTAAATTTCTTAGCAATTTAATTTTCGTTCTCTACATTCAGTCATTTAATTTATGTTATTTACATTCATTACTTACTTTATGTATTTTATATTTCTTGTAATTTACTTTCCATAATGAGAAATTAATCTCATTAGCTTAGGTGTGAGACAAAATGTGAGATTTTAAACCGAAGGAAGTGGACGTTTGTTTTGCAATAACAACGTTCTACTATTTCATTCAAATTTTATATATAACTAATGACATTTATTGACAAATTGATCACTTTGAAAGTATTAAAGTGTTGTAGTCTTAGAGATAAGCCACTAAATGCACGTCAATTTGAATGATATGAGAAGTAAACCTGAGAGAGTTGCTGACCAAGAGATCTTTCATTTATATTTTTCAAACTAATTAATTCTCGACGGATTGGTTACTTGTTAAAGTGCTAAAGTGCAGTAGATTCAGAGATGAACTACTTAGAACATAAACAAACTTGAACG